TTGATTGTAATACTGATTTGATGATGCACATTAATATTTCTATTACATCATCATAGTTATAAATATTTCGAGAACCCCTCTTGGAGTATTGATTTTTAGAGTGGAAAATTGGGTACTTGTGCATTTGTGTATTTAATGAAGGTCGTAATGGGTAAGTTTCACCTCTTGTTTCTGTGGCAAAAATATCTAACCAGGACCAAGTTTTTCAGTTATAGAAGTATAGAAAAACTCAACAGTTTAATATTCTAATAACACCACCGAGCGGTGAGTGTAGTGGGTTAAGAACTCGAACTTTTTCGTTCAATACTTGAATTTGAATTTCTATAGTCACTACAATTCGGTAGGACTCAACCTACATTTCAGCGCATAGAACACGCGGTGGAGTCTAAGTTTCGGCCCCAACGCAAGTGCGGTGGGATCTCCAATAAATAGCTTTGTGGTGTGGTGTTATAGAATAATGCTCTTTGACGGATATGTAAAATAATTTATCTGCATATCTATTTGCTAAACCAAAAAAAAAGTCTAATAACTGATAATTTAGGACCTTCAAAGAATAATAATTATTAGATAGTGGAGACTGTCACCCATTTCATCACATAAAGCCAAAGCCGAATAAAATTAATAATTTGTAATATAAAGCAAAAAAGAAATTTATAAGCAACATTCAGATTCTGTAGTCTTGTATATATATGTGTGTGTGCGTGTATGTGTGTTTTTTTATATATGAGTTTAATTTGAATACGATTCTACGTTTAGGGCAAAGTCATGATGTCCACAAATACGGACTTTAGATGATACAACACCAAATCATTGTCTTGGTATTAATACAATATGACTTTATACATACTTACATAATATCTCTGTCTCTCTCTATAGATGAAGTTGATTTTTTTTTTCTCTCTTCTCTTTTTATGTAATGTATATTTTTTGGATGAATTAAACATTTTTAAAGATAAAAGAGTATTTCATATTAAATAGTTAATCCTGTTAGGTATTGACTTTAGCCCTCAACTTTCGTGGTGCGTAGCTTTGGAGTGATATATATGCAGATAAAATTAGTCAATATACGAGGTTTTTATCGAAAGGAAATCTGGAAAATGACATATCTATACAGTCTTGCTCCACACACACAAATATTATTTTCGTAATATGCATTCAAAGGTATTTAGTTTACAATGATTTAATCTCACTGGTATGCCAAGACACTATATCACTTAAAACACGAAATAATAAAAAAAAATAAACATTTAAATCAATAAAACTAGAAATTGAATGATAGCTTGTCCATTATCTTTCAGATGATATTCCCATGTGAACAAGCAACACGAGTTTGACTTGTTAATTTGGCCATCTAAATCAATTATCAAATGAAAGCTATTTGGCATACTACTTGCCACAAGCAAACTAAACCCTCTAGAAACTAGGGGTGGCCTACTTTAGCCATGGTTTTGCTGGACAGACTGACAGATTTTTGCAAGGTGTTTGATGACACGATTAAGAACTAATGGCTAAGGTCTACGTATACATCATTTAATGGATAATTCATATAAACAATAAGCAATTCTCTCTCTCTCTCTCTCTCTCCCCAAAGGTGGTGCTTGTAGCTGTAATGTATGTGAGTGGGCAGATGGACAACCACTTTGCTCACTTTTTATGAGGTAGTTGCCTCCTTGCTAGTACTGTAATTACACACATTGGGTCCGTGGGTTGGGTACAGAGAAGATAATTGGAAGTCAGCTTTTCCCTCTCAAAGTGGAAACTTGTTTCCAGCATGACCATTCAAAACTTATCTTTCTAACTTGTTTCCAGCATTTTGTTCAAAAAAAAAAAACTTGTTTCCAGCATGACCATTCAAAACTTATCTTTCTCATATATTTGACCCATAATTCAGAACTTCAAGAAAACAAAGACACAATAAAAATATATTAAAATCTCAGGATGAAGACACATAAAGTTTGGGGTGTTCAAAATTCTACCCACCCCACCCCTTCTGTAATATTTCGATCCTATCATATTCGATAATTCGGCTTCTGAATTTTTTCGATCAACTAATGGAATATGTTTTTAGTATTTTGCAAATATCGGATAGAAATAAAACGACTTCATTTTGTTTGTCATAAAATAACGTTTAGGAAGCATATGATTTGTGATTTGTGTTTTATTTATATTGTTTTAGACTATTAGAGAACAAATTAATCAAATTTATTGTATTTTTTTTTAGTTTTTTTAGTTTATTGTATTGATTTACATAACTTTATTTTATTTTTTAACAATCTAATTGTAAAAGTAGTCAAAAAATTTAGTAATTGAGTTGTTAAAATGATCAAAAAATTAATAACTTAAAATTTAAAAATTTGTAAGACATGTCGCATTTCGTGAAATTTGTATGAAATTTGGGTTGAAACATTATACTTAATCGGGTTGAATAAACCAAATAAATCCAAAAATTCTTACCCACCGACTCGGATGAACAACCACACTGATGACTTCATCGTTTTCTTGACTGAGCCGAATCATTAAAATTGGAATACTTTCTTAATTATTGAGCAAATATATTAAAATACTAATATCTAAAGGATAGTTTTTTGGGGTGTTACTCGAAGTCAGAAATCTCATGTCTGACTTTCTCATGTACTTGACCCATAATTCAAAACTATAATTAAAAAAAAACAAAAAACAAAGGCAAAATAAAAAGAAATATTAAATTCTATGGATAGAGAGACACATAAGGTGATGCTATTTATTACCCCTTTAGGAGGCCAAAACATCCCATCTTCCTTCTATTTAGTGCCGCACTATTGACAGTTTCTTTCTTTGCACCACTCTCTTGTCGCCCATCTTCTAGAAGAATTTTTTGAATTTATATTTTGTCAATTAGATTTTTCATTTTTTTTTAATAATCTTCTCAATGATAGGTTACCAGTGTGGATCGATTGAGACTCACTGATACATAATACAAAATACTTAAATATATGTCTGACTAATTTATTATTGAGAACAAATGAGAGAAAATATATTACGGTGAACCCGAACTATAAATTTCTTAGCCTAAGAATTTTATAACATAATATTATTTCAATAATGTTAGATTGATCAAATTTTGAGAATAAATTTGGAGTCTAAATGACATGACAGTTGACTTGCGCTTCTTTAATTAATGTCATGTCATTTGGGCTGAGCTTCTTTGATTGGTGTCATGTTATTTGAGCCCCAATAAAAATTTTTGGGTTTTTTTGATTGGTGTCATGTTATTTGAGCCCCAATAAAAATTTTTGGGTTTTTTTGATTGGTGTCATGTCATTTAGGCCCCAATAAAAATTTTAAATAATCAACTGTCATATTATTTGACTCTAAATTTGATTCTAAAATTTGATCAATCTAACATTACTCAACACTATTTATATATGTTAGACAGTAGTCTTTTCATCTTTCGCAAAGAGAGGCGGTCTCCTTTGAAAATCTAATATGAGAATCATCATTAAATTAGTAAATAAAATTTATTATTAATCAAAAAATTAAAATACATTAAATTTCAATATTATATTCCAAATTATATGCAAATAGCTTTATTGAATTGAGAAACGTTTGACACAAACCATCATGATGATGAATTAAAATATACTTTTTTGCAGTGTCAAGGTCATCATTATGTAGTACACCACTCACGTCCCACAAATCACATGCTAGCCTAAAGTTTTAACTCCACTTAAGGTTTTAACTAGTGAATAAAATTCTATTTATGAGAATATAGAAGGTGGGTTTATTATTAAAAGGTTGTAGATAGTATAAGATAAATTTAGTTGAAATAAGGTGGGGGTATAGAATGGTTGGATTTAATAGTTTGATAATAAAAATTTTAGTGAGGTAAAAATAAATATTTATCGCATAGGAATAGCCCCTACCTTTAAGAAAAACCTTGGTTGTTATACCAACTATTAGCAAGTGGATAAGATGATATGAAATACCCCATGAATTTTTTTTGAATCCATAGACAATTATGCCCTTAATACCGTACCCAAAAAGAACCTTGATGGTAAATTTTGTTTTGGGTATTTCGTGCTTGATTATGAAAAATAATAAAATATTAAAATCTCAATTTTAATCTTACAAATTACATTCTCTATGACCTTTTTATTTACACTAGGGTGGTGTCACCGTTCAATTAAAATACAAGAAATTGGATAAAGTGGACTCTCTTATCTTATGTGGGGGTTGTCACTAGATTACGATAATTATTGAATTATATAGGATTTACTTGATACTTTATTATATTTTTATTGGATAATCACGTATGGATGATTATATGGTGTAATTAAATGTTTTTTCACCGAGGAGATTTTTACAGTTTACAGTAACAACTAACTGCAGCTTTTATAGAAGTGCAGAAACGCAATGTATGTGATTATCCTCTTTAAGCCGATCCAGATAGGATTGATTTATACAGGAGAAAAGTCAGAGAAACAAGTACCCAAATGCCGACGGACTCGATCCAAATTGAGGGAGAGAGAGAGAGAGTATGTGTATCTTTTTTTTTTGATAAATATAGAGTGTGTGTATCATCAAAAGGATTCTCATTCCTTTCCTTCTTAGCTGGGTTTCTCCAATATGTGACAAAACCTTCTTCTATGTAAGATCCATTTCATGCAATCTTTTGAGTGACCTCCATAACTCTCCGCAACACCCATTCCTTTGTCACCATCCTCCATGATTCCGTACTTATAACACTGTACGTCCTTAAAAAAATCCCCATATAACTGTCTCCAAGCCAATACTAACTAACAATCACCCCTTTAAGTACCCATACCCTTCCACCACATCAAAATGGTGAAAACTACAGATCTACTTACATATATCTCTTATCAACATTGCTTATAGGATACCTTCCGAAAAAAACATTGCTTAGAGGCACCTACTTGTTCATGCATTAATTGGTGGCGTAAGGACTCTTAACTATTTAGACCTTTGGCACTTTTTCCCTTTCCTCTTTTTGGCATATGCATTTGTAATACAACGAAAACAGCCTCTTCATATGCGGGTGTGAGGAGAGTATGCCTTGTCAGAGCCTCGTGTAGTGGGCTGCCCGTGTGCTATAACTCTTTATTCTTACTGTTTCATTACTATTCATAAGCTTCACTATTTTTCATGTTTATGAATTTCCTGCTGCAGCTTTGAAGAACAACTCGGTGAATTTCGATTCTTTCCTGAGTTCAGAGGAGACAGATGAAGGGAAAACGTAGCTTTGATCTGAATCAAAGGATTCAAGAAGGGTAATTCTGCAGTATGTGTATGGTATAAGTCTTGGTTCTTACTGGTTTATTACTGAGCATAAACTTCACCGTTTTTCATATTTATGAATTCTCTGCAGCTTTGAAGAATAAGTCGGTGAATTGCAATTATTATCTAAGTTTAGAGCGTTAGACAGCGGTTTGATTTGAATCAAAGGATTCAAGAAAGGTAATTTTGAGAGTTGCAGCCAGTAAAAATGGCAGCAACATTATCCTCAGATGACTTGCCAAGATCTATGAGCAGAGGGTCAATGAGCAGGAGGCTGAGTTTTGCGTCTTCCAGCCGGAGAAGTTGGGCCTCAGCCAGTATCCGGGAGGCGTTCGCGGGGCCAGGAGGGGACGCTTTTCAGAGGAGTCGGAGAGAAGATGATGATGAGGAAGAGCTAAAGTGGGCTGCTATTGAGAGGCTTCCAACTTACGATAGATTGAGGAAGGGAATTTTGAAGCAAGTTTTGGATACTGGTAGAATTGTTCATGAAGAGGTTGATGTTTCCAATCTTGGGATGAGAGATAAGAAGCAACTAATGGAAAGTATTCTCAAGGTTGTGGAAGATGATAATGAGAGGTTTCTTCAGAGACTCAGAGATCGTACCGATAGGTGACAATTAAAACTTTTTCTGAGTCTTGTTGTAGATAATAGTCTGTATATTTAGTGTTTTTGATTTTTGAATTATTTTATAAAATAATGTTTTTGGGACTTTAATTATGTTGTCAAAACAGGGTTGGAATCGATATTCCGAAAATTGAAGTTCGGTTTGAGCACTTGGCAATTGAAGGAGACGTACATGTTGGATCGAGGGCGCTTCCAACCCTGCTGAATGCTACCCTGAATATGGCAGAGGTAGCTGATTCTGTTCTTCACTTTTCTCAATTGGTCAATTAGCTTATTTTCATATCCAACAACTAGGATGGAGATCCTCAATTATTGTTCGATTTGCACATGTAAGATGCACTTATAGATTGTCTGGTTTTTCCCCAGTAGTAATTATTGGTCAAGGAAATTCATGTTAAAATTCTAGTTCTTAGAGCTAATGATTTCTCCTACTACGCATATTGATCACACAGAATTCGAAATGAGAAATCTCCTTATTTGTTTTGGTTTTTGAGGCTTCTATTGTATCCGGGAGAGATGATGAATACACAGTGGAAGTTTTTTCTTTTTACTGGTGAAGATTTCAATTTGTTGTTGTTAACAGGGTGTTCTCGGAGCACTGAAGCTTTTTCCATCAAAGAAAAGGGTTGTTAAGATACTTCATGATGTGAGTGGAATCGTGAAACCATCAAGGTATGTTTATGGAATCAAACTCATTCTATTATCACCAATTTTGCACTTTTATATAGCCATATAAAAAGGGGAAATAATGTATAAGCACAAGTATCTTGAAGTAATTTGTCAAATCATAATCAAAAGCTTTCCTACAATCTAGCGCAACCATGGCCTGTGAGTATACACAATGTGACACTGCTTGTTGACTATGTATTTTTGAACTTCCTGTCCATGCTTGTCAACTGTGTTGTCAGGATGGCACTACTTCTCGGGCCTCCAGGTGCTGGAAAGACTACGTTACTGCAGGCACTTGCTGGAGGGCTGGACAAGAATTTAAGGGTATGTAATCCTCCACCTCACTCATCGTCACAATGTTCGAGAATTTGTCAATATCTTGCTTAGATGTAGTAATCAAATGTTAGTGTATTTTCATTAACTTATGTGGAGAATTGTGTAGGAATTAAATAGATATTTTAGATTAATCATGAGAGTAATTTAGTATTTATTTTTTAAGTATTTTCTTTTAATTTTAAGGGTTTAGTTGTCATTTTAATTATTTATTTATTTTAAGGTTTATAATTTCCTTATATATATAGGATTTGTGAACTCCTTATAGATATAGGGGATACATATTTATTGAGAGATTATACTTCGATTATTATTGATTATTGATATTGCTTCTTTCTCAATTTCTCTTCTCTTTCTTCTTCTTTCCTCATCCCTTTATTCTTTTCATCTCATCCATAATTTTCCCTTCTTAGTTTACATCAATTTGATATTAGAGCTAATACGATCTACATTAATTTGATATCAGAGCTAATAAGATTTACATTAATTTAGTATCAGAGCCCAATTTCGATCCATACAAAAAAAAAAACTTTTCACTATGATACTGTTCATCGCGGCACTGTTCATCGTCGCCACCAACATCATCACCCACAACCATCCATCCAACCCCCTCCTTGTGCAAACCAAAAACAAGAGAACTAGGGTTTAGAAAGCGTAGCTTTGGTAGCTTCAACGACGTGGAGAAGAAGACTTATTGTTAAAAATTATAAAATCACCCCCAAAAATTTTAAAAATCACAAAAATATCATTCATAAGTTTCAAAATTGTAGAAACATACCAACAGATCTAGAAAATTATAAAATTATCCTCATAAGTTTTAAAAAATTATATAAACATCATCCCAAAAATTTTAAAAATTACAGAATCATCCCCCAACAAATTTCAAATTTTCAAAATTTTTATCACAACAAAGCTTGATTATGGTATGTATACTCTCATAAAATTTGAGACTAATATTTTTATTCATTGGAAAATTAGAAAATTTACAAAGGTTCCAAAACATATTTTTTTCTATTTAAGTTTTTTCACTTCTTATAATTATCAATTATATTCTTGAACTCATTCTTATGTTATTCTCATCTTTCAAAGTCAATCGTGAGTTCATATAATCATTATGATGCCTATTCATATACTTATCCAATATCAAGAATGTCTTAAGTTCATAGTTTTCCACAACGTCATCACTATGCCTATTTCACTCCTAAAATTTCTCGAAGTCATCATAAAGTGCATAGTAAGTCTGAGTTTTATTATGAAGATTATCTAGAATACTACTCTGAAACACTTAGGTCATATAACAATTACCAACGTCATGCTTTCCAAAGTCATCATCAAGGTTAATCTTCAATGTCATTAGTGACCATTCAAAAGCCCAAATTTCCATAGAAAAAAAAGGTTAAAATATTTGAAATTAGAGTTGTCAATACTAAACATTCACTAGGCTAATCACGTGAAGAATGTAGAGGGATGAAAAACCAATTATTTGAATTAACAAGTCAACTTTCCTGCTTGAATAAAATTCTTGCAAGTCAACAAATGGAAAAAAAATAAAGACAAGTCTCTAGTTTCACCTAATGTCGGACATCTGCATAATGATAGCCATATTTTCTGTTTCGTTGGACCCTCATGCGTTTCATCCCTCAAAACATATTTTCAATTGTTTGAACATTGATATTAGTGATGAGATTATTTTTTATCCTATCATGTTTCGTACCTCATTGGAGCCAAAAGTTGAACCATCACCAATTATTGAACTTGAGGAAAAATTCATTCAGTTGATTCTTATGTAAGATGTTGAACATATTGAGCTATCTATTTTAGAATTTGTTGACAATTTTTTTATGTCTACTATTCCGAATCATGATGACATTGTTGTAGATTCTTCTCCACCTGAGATTATTGACATTGTTCTGGACTCTGCTTCACTTAAGAGTGTAAACTTTGTTTCTTTGTCTACTGTCAAGTATTCAATTAAGTTTATATTTTCTTATTTTCAACACTAGGGTGTTATATATTACTCATTTGTCATTGATGTCATGTCCCACTGAATACCTTTTGTTCAAATCTAATGAAATTTTTTTTGCTATTATTGAGTTTGAATTTAATACTTAATTGCTTAATTTTTCATTGAATATTAGTATCAGTCCAAATTTTTATTTGAATGACATGCTACTTAATCGAGATACTCCATAGCCTCCTATTTTGTTAGCAGGTGTTTCTATAAGTGGAATTGCTTCTTCCTCAGTATTAGCTCTAGTTCTTATCTTTTCACTTCTATCGTGTATTTCGGGGCAAATAGATGATGTGCTACGTGACCAGATTTACATTGCTACAGATGGAGATTATTGCATTTATTCTGATCGATGGAAAAATATTGATAGTTCTTTCATTCTACATAAAGCGTTCTATCATCTTCATTCTGTTCTCGTAAGGTATTTCTACTTTGAAGACTCTATGGAGGAGAGTTTTTCTCAACCGGAAGAGAATGATGGGGATCGTGTAGGAATTAGATATATATTTTAGATTAATCATGAAAATTATTTAATATTTATCTTTTAAGTATTTTCTTTTAATTTTTAAGAGTTTAGTTGTCATTTTGATTATTTATTTATTTTAGAGTTTATGATTTCCTTATATATATAAGATTTGTAAACTCGATTAGATTTTAATTATTATTAATTATTGATATTAATTCTTTCTCAAATTCTTATCATTTTTTTCTTTTTTTCTCATCCTTAATTTTTTTTTCTAATCTACATTAATTTTGATATCAGAATTATTATAATAAATATTAATTTAACATCAGAGTTAATACGATATATGTCAACAGGTAACCGGAAAAGTCACTTATTGTGGCCACGAAATGTCAGAGTTCATTCCTCAAAGGACTTGTGCTTATATTAGCCAGCATGATCTCCACCATGGTGAGATGACTGTCAGAGAGACATTAGACTTCTCAGGACGCTGCTTGGGAGTTGGAACCCGATATGACCTCCTGGCAGAGTTATCGAGAAGAGAAAAAGATGCAGGAATTAAACCTGACCCAGAGATAGATGCATTCATGAAAGCCACAGCAATGGCTGGCCAAGAATCTAGTTTGGTCACGGACTATGTTCTTAAGGTTTATTTTCTCATCTTTCTGGTGTCTAATGTTGATTGTAATGCCCTCAACTACCTTATTGAACTGATTACTAAGTTTATATGACAGATACTTGGGTTAGATATCTGTGCTGATATCATGGTGGGAGATGGGATGAGAAGGGGTATCTCTGGTGGACAGAAGAAGCGTGTCACAACAGGTATGTGAAAAGCATTTTAGTGACAACCAGAGGCCAAATGTTGGTTTTCCTCAATCCTTCTTCACCCACAAACCAAACAAAATTCCAGTTTTTTAAGGTCTCCCCATGCTATGGAATTGCCTTGTGTGATAACAATATTATCAAAATCGGGTTTTTGGCATATGCAGGAGAAATGTTGGTTGGGCCAGCAAAAGTTTTTTACATGGACGAAATATCAACTGGTCTAGATAGTTCCACCACTTACCAAATTGTGAAGTTTATGAGGCAGATGGTTCATATTATGGATGTAACCATGATAATCTCTCTTCTGCAACCTGCGCCTGAAACGTTCGATCTTTTTGACGACATTATTCTGCTTTCAGAGGGTCAAATTGTCTACCAAGGTCCACGAGAGAATGTCCTTGAGTTCTTTGAGAGTGTGGGATTCAAATGCCCAGAAAGGAAAGGAGTTGCTGATTTTCTGCAAGAGGTCACTTCGAGGAAGGACCAAGAGCAATACTGGTTCAAAAAGAACGAACCTTATCAATTTATTTCAGTGCCTGAGCTTGCAGATCGCTTCAGTTCTTTCCACATTGGGCAGAAGCTTTATGATGAACTTGGGATTCCTTATGATCAAACTAAAGCCCATCCTGCTGCATTGGTGACTCGGAAGTATGGTATTTCCAATATGGAGCTCTTGAAGGCATCCTTGGACAGGGAATGGCTACTGATGAAACGCAACTCCTTTCTGTACATATTCAAGACCACTCAGATTACTATCATGTCAATAATTGCTTTCACAGTTTTTTTTCGAACTGAGATGAAACATGGTCAATTGGAAGATGGAGGCAAATATTATGGTGCACTGTTTTTCAGTCTCATTAATGTGATGTTTAATGGGACGGCTGAGCTTGCCCTAACCATGGTCAGGCTTCCTGTGTTCTTTAAGCAGAGGGATGCCCTGTTTTACCCTGCATGGGCCTTTGCCGTTCCCATTTGGATCATGAGGATCCCCCTCTCATTCGTGGAATCAGCAATATGGATCATCCTGACTTATTACACAATTGGGTTTGCTCCTGCTGCTAGTAGGTATGTGATTTCACATCCATTCTTAAACATTATCGAGTAATTTTCATGCGTAAGTATGTGAACTGGAGTGGTTGTTGAATGTAAATACATGGTTCAACAAACACCAGAACTGATGACAGCTATTCCAAAAGATTGCTTACATGATTTTGGAAGTTGGAATTTTGCAGGTTTTTTCGCCAATTTTTGGCCTTTTTTGGTCTACATCAGATGGCTTTGTCTCTCTTCCGATTCATTACGTCAATTGGAAGAACACAGGTGAACGCAAACACTCTTGGCACCTTTACGCTGCTCATGGTTTTTGTCCTTGGTGGATTCATTGTTGCCAAAGGTTAGTGTTTTTGTCTTTGTACTGTGGGTACTTTTTTTTTTGGCTGATGTGGTCTGATTCAGAAACTAGTGATAATGTTTCGTTCATACATTTCAAAATGCAGTGGAAATTACTAAAGCAGTCATGTAACTCATTCTGCAGATGACATTGCACCATGGATGATATGGGGCTATTATGTTTCTCCTATGATGTATGGACAGAATGCCATAGCCATCAATGAATTTCTTGACAAAAGATGGAGTGCTGTAAGTTCAACGTTTAGTTTATATATATCAGTTTTTTTCTTTCTCCCAACTTAAATACTGACTTGTAATTATTTGATCATCTATAATAAACCACTTTGTTTTTTCCTACAGCCTAATACAGACCCAAGATTTCCAGAGCCTACTGTTGGAAAGGTTCTTCTCAAGTCCAGGGGAATGTTTTTGGAAGACTATGTGTATTGGATTTGTGTCATTGCACTCTTTGGGTTTTCGCTTCTCTTCAATATTTGCTTCATTTTAGCACTGACGTACTTGAATCGTAAGAAAGCCCTTCCATACTAATCCGCTTACAATTTATGGTGTTTTGATCAGGTTTGGTTTTAACAATCTTTTGTGACTCAAATGCAGCTTTGGGAGATTCTAAATCGGTTATTGTAGATGAGGATGCTGAGAAAAAAAAGCCAGGCATTAATTTAATGGCAGACACAGATAGGACTTCAGCATCTACAGCTCCGTCAGCTGAAGGTTATTTACCTTTGCCTCCTAAGAATTCCATTGGGTTTTTTAATCATCCCACTATGCTTGCACCGTTTTGGGTGTAATGCAGTCATGCTTATGGGATAAATTTGTGCAAATTAGACCTTACTTGACTCAGATACATTGTGCAAGACTGTTAGTTTTGTGTATATATAGTTTCTTTCTCTCTTGAAAGCCATGACATTCCTTTTAATTGCCACCTTAGTTATGTAGTTTATACAAGACTTAGTATTTTTTTTATATAAAAAACAATTTTTAGAATAAAATTTTCTCATTGGTAAACATTACTTCAACTAGTTTCGTTTTATTGCATAGGCCTTTCCTCCTTCATGAACCTCATGAATAGAACTGCAAATGCAGTATGGGGATGCAAAAAGGTAATGTCTCTAAATACCTATTTGGAGGTTGAGAATGACAGGAAAGAGTGTGGCATATTTGTATCTGGAAACTGAAGACATTAGCACTTGAAGATGATTTTTTTTTGCCAAAAATTAATTTTCAGATTGTGGACATTCTTATGTTTTGAAACCGTCCTTTATTCCTAGCTGCTGATTGAACCTGAATGATTCCAGGGGTAGATATGGCTGTAAGGAACACTCCAGGGCGTACCCACTTAGGTGGTGCAGATAATGCAGGGAGCAAAAGAGGAATGGTGCTGCCTTTCCAACCCTTGTCACTTGCATTTAATCATGTGAATTACTACGTTGACATGCCTGCTGTAAGTCAACTATCCTGAATTTTAAATCTTATAAGTAACTATGATAGGATATTATTTTCTTCCATGTCTTTTTTTTAAGGTAGCATCACCCAAATCTTAAAAGATGACTCCTTAGAATCCATGCATATCCAAAAATAATTATCCATTGAAAAAATGGACAGATGTACCTTTTTTTTTTCTTTTCTTTCATGCTACTTGAATAATTAGTGCTGTATTTAGCTAGCCATTGTTGGTACGAGTGGAAATTTGGCTCATTATGAATGATTCTTTTGACTTGGACCTTACAATAATTGATTAATATCTCATAATTTTTTAGATGACTACTATTTTCCTTCTGGATCTTTACAAAAATGATTCGAGTTTGATGCTCATCAACTTAAGTCTCCTTGAATCAAATAGACATTCTCATAAAAGGGTACTATGGTTCGAGAAACTTAGACTGTGAACCAGTGATATATTACAGAACTCACGTAAACAATTGACATTGTCAATAATATGGCTTGTATCAGGAAATGAAGAACCAAGGAATAGAGGAAACTCGTCTCCAACTGTTACGAGATGTCAGTGGTGCTTTTAGGCCTGGTGTTCTGACAGCATTGGTTGGTGTAAGTGGTGCCGGAAAGACCACTTTAATGGATGTGCTAGCAGGAAGAAAAACTGGTGGAAACATTGAAGGAAGTGTCAGCATTTCTGGTTACCCAAAGAACCAAGCAACTTTTGCTCGTGTCAGTGGTTACTGTGAACAAAATGATATCCATTCTCCGCATGTTACAGTTTATGAATCTCTTGTGTACTCTGCCTGGTTGCGTCTTGCTCCAGATGTAAATACAAAAACTCGAAAGGTTAGTTGTTTGTTACCTATCCCTCTAGCCATAGTTCCTAATCTTGCTGTTCATTCGGTCTGTTTTTTCTTGCCAACCTTAAACTGGGATCATGCATCTCTAATGAAGTGTACACCACCACTTCTTTGTTTTGTCACCGAAACCTTATTTCTTTGTTCCTCCTCTTCCAATTTGCATAGTTTGATTTTCTTGGCAATGTTCCACTGCAATGAGGCATCCAAGTATATGTTATGACATTTTCTCTTTCTGCTTTTTTAATCATAAGTAGGGCCTTTGAGGCAAGGAAACATGTCTAGAAAGCTCAAATTTCGCCTGCTTCACAAAATTCATCTTTTGACATGCATTGATATTTACTTTGATATATATATATATATATATATATATATATATATATATTGTTCTTCTATGACTGATGATTTCAGTATTGCAACACATCTAATGACTTAGTTTTCAGATAATTTGCAGGGATTGATTTATTTTGATTTTTTTGTGCTTTAGATGTTTGTCGAGGAGGTAATGGACTTGGTCGAGTTGAACCCACTAAGGGACTCTTTGGTGGGCCTTCCAGGAGTCGATGGTCTCTCAACTGAACAGAGAAAGAGGCTCACCATAGCAGTGGAGTTGGTTGCTAATCCCTCCATCATCTTCATGGATGAGCCCACATCAGGCCTTGATGCTAGAGCTGCTGCTATTGTGATGCGAACTGTGAGAAACACAGTAGATACTGGGAGAACTGTTGTCTGCACAATTCACCAGCCAAGCATCGATATCTTTGAAGCTTTTGATGAGGTAGTTATCAATTGCTAGCTTTTTGCATTTTAAATTTTCAAATTATATGATCCCCATGTAGTCTCTGCTGCTTTTCTATTCTAATATTATTCTATGCAGCTTTTATTGATGAAAAGAGGAGGACAAGTCATTTATGCTGGACCTCTTGGTCACCACTCTCACTTGCTAGTAAAATATTTTGAAGTGAGTGTCGGTCTCTGTAAATTTGGGTTGATGCCTATGATTCTCCTATAATTATGTTGCTGGTAATAATGAATCTGTGAACTCTTGCAGTCCATTCCTGGAGTTACTAAGATCCGAGATGGTTATAATCCTGCTACATGGATGCTGGAAATCAGTTCTGCCACAGTAGAGGCTCAACTTGATGTGGACTTCGCAGAAATTTATGCCAACTCTGATCTGTATCGGTATGTAGATTGTAAACTATAATGATCAGATCCCGTATTTTAAATACTTTACGTTTGCTTTGGGATAGGTCCGTATGGTTTGAAAACGCTTTGTGCAATGAATGACCAAAACTTGTAAAGCAATTCACACACGTCACCAAGCTTTGTGAGACTAAATCACTCTCAGTAATCCCTTTTAATCCTGCACGTTCTCCTGTGGGATCCATCCACATTTCCAGACCCAATCAATGTGGGATTCAGAAGGATGTAGGATGGCTCCCACCATGCTAGCGTCCATTGCCTCAACCCACCACCATGTTAGCACCGAGGTGAAGAAGGGTTGCACAGATTACGTGGCCTCTCGACACCACAAGGCTTAATGGCATTCTTATCTCTAGACCCACATCATACAGTATTTTAGGGTTTAAGTTATGTCTGGTCTTTAACAAACGACGTCCAATGAAGGTCAAAAACTTGACTTCACCAAGGGATTTGGGATAGGATCAGTCAATAAACAATGCAATCTCATGAATTTATATTGGTTCCATCATCCGATTAATTGCTGAGTGAATCTTATTATATTGCCCGCCTCCCAAACAGGAGGAATCAAGAACTTATTAAGGACCTCAGCACTCCGGCACCAGGGTCTCAGGACCTACGTTTTCCTACCCAATACTCCCAAACCTTCTTTGCTCAATGCAAAGCTTGCTTCTGGAAACAGCATTTGTCCTATTGGAGGAACCCACAGTACAATGCCATCCGGTTTTTCATGACAACAATTATTGGCGTTATATTCGGAATTATATTCTGGAAAAAAGGACGTAAAATGTAAGTAACTTTTTCTCCAATGTACTTTGCAATCATAAGAACTTGATGGTTGCTTGTTCATTTTACACCAAATTACAACCACCAACAGGGAGAAACAACAAGACCTGCTGAATCTATTGGGAGCTATGTATTCTGCTGTTATGTTTCTTGGAGGAACAAACACTTCTTCCGTGCAGTCTGTTGTGGCAGTTGAAAGGACAGTCTTCTATCGTGAAAGAGCAGCGGGGATGTATTCAGCATTGCCTTATGCATTTGCTCAGGTAACATCTTTAAGTACACAATAGCGTTTAAAATTCTCAATCATAAGCATATGACAACATTGCCAAACTGGTCCCTGATATGTTATGCTCTGCAGGTGGCCATAGAGACCATTTATATTGCAATCCAAACTTTTATTTACAGTCTACTCCTTTACTCGATGATTGGATTCCACTGGCAACCTGACAAGTTCTTTTGGTTCTACTACTACGTATTTATGTGCTTTGTCTACTTCACATTGTATGGGATGATGCTTGTAGCACTCACTCCAAGCTACCAGATTGCTGCCATTGTTATGTCATTCTTCCTCAGCTTCTGGAATTTATTCTCTGGTTTCCTTGTCCCCAGGACAGTAAGTACACAACTGAAAAACATGAGAACTATTACCTTCATTTTCAAATGATCGATGCATGCATGTAGACTTCCATCTTGCTTCAGTAAAGTTGTTGAGATGTCAATTGTCAAAATCACTTTATGTGGTTGCAATTTGAGGACACTATCAAGGTTATAAGTGTTTTCAAAAAATTGGTTCACTTTTTTGTCAGAAGAAGGATATAACGTTGTAATCCTTTAATGGACAGTTATGAAAAGGCAGTTTGATGATATGGGAAACAAAAAAAGACTGTAAATGCTAAAATCCATAAACGGAAAATTTTCAATGTCTTATTGTTTGTAATGCTACCTTCACTGCTGAAGTGCTTTTGGAAATTCTTCTCATGCTTTTGGATATTCTTTTCATGAAAGATAATCTAACTGTTTTCGACTTCTGCATATATGCAGCAAATCCCAGTTTGGTGGAGGTGGTATTACTGGGGTTCTCCAGTGGCGTGGACAATATATGGCCTTGTCACATCTCAGGTGGGTGACGAGACTGATTCAATTCAGGTACCTGGGTTAGGCGACCTACCAGTTAAGGACTACCTTAAAGACTTCTTAGGTTATAACTACGACTTTCTCCCAGCTGTTGCCTTGGCGCATCTTGGTTGGGCCGTTCTCTTCTGTGTCATCTTTGCCTATGGCATCAAGTTTCTTAACTTCCAAAGAAGATAAGAACATTAGGACTGACAGAAATTGCCTCATACATAGAATTTCATTATATAAACCGAGAAAGAAAAGGGAATCAGGAGCTTGTAATTTTTTCTTTGAACTTTCTCTTTGTAAATATTCAGAGCTTGTGCATGTCACTATTTGTGTATTCTATATTAATGAAAGCTGCATTGTTTGAATTAATAGGTATCCGTATTACCTCTATTTTTGCATGTATTTGCCACCAGAAAATTCCATCTTTGTGTGCATGTGTACGTTCTTTAGAGTGGAATGGAGTAAAGAAGTTTTGATCTTTCTTTCCACCTAAGTTACCACAGCTTCCTGTTTTTTTTTTTCTATCTGTTAGTCAGATGACCAAAATTTCTTCATCAATCTTCTTCTTTTGTCTGTTTTTAGAGCATATTGAGTGTATACAATAGATGCCTTCAAAAGCATGAATGTTTTCTCAAATTATCTCAAGTACAATCAACATAGGAAGGAGGAACAAATTCAGTCAAATGAGCACTAAAAGTTGTGTGATTGTAGACCATTAAGGGGAGGGGGGGGGGGGGGGAGAGAGAGAGAGAGAGAGAGAGAGAGAGAGAGAGAGGATTTCACAACGTGAACTCAATTTATTCCTGGCAGACCAGCAGTTCACCATCCTCCAGACTGGATAGCAAAGATGACAGTGGTTTAAGCACTTGAGCAGAAATGGTCAGACATTAATATCATAGTCCAGAATGTAATCTCTACTAACATGCTTTCTTGTACATTCAAGAGATGAAAATTCGACACTATTTTTTCCATAGCTGGCCATGATAATTGATCAGCTCCCCTCATGATCGATGCAGTGAATACAGATAAGGATGATAAGATACTGGTTACTCCTCGATAAATGAGAGGTCAACCAACACAAAGCATAAGAAAATTCCTACAATGAATTGAAGTTTCAGCACAAAGAGTTTAAAAGATCAGTACAAAGAGTTCAAGTAACAAGTGATCACCTGGATCAAATTAAAATTAGGATAAAAGTTTTGAAAATTCAAGGCCACGGGGAGATGAGCTGTTCATCCTTACCATAGGTGTCAAGGGGAATTCCAAAGGGAACCCCCACGATCACTGCACTGCTGCATCTTGTGCATATTTGATTTCAAAACGGACAATACCAAAAAGAGTACCAATGAAAGAAGAAGAAAGAGTACCAAACAAAAGACTTGTCTTCACAAAGGACAATAACCAGAAAGATGACTAAAGATGAAATTACTAACTCCACTTCTGCGTATTAACCCAGAAGTTTGTCAATTTGAACCAACTCAGGCGAACTGAGGATAAAACACAGAATTTCTCTCGAAATGTGACGACAGCTGGAATTTTTAATGCAATCAGTTGTCTGTACTCAAAACTATGTATATACTCATTTTTGTCACCACCTTCATTCCTCCTTAAAATAGACCCTATATATACTTTCTGATCTCCAATGCTTACCCAATAACACCACCTCGCTCTCCCTCTCTCTCTCTCTCTCTCTCTCTCTCTCTCTCTCTCTCTCCACACTTCCTAGTCCATCCATTTTGAAGAAACTATACATTCAGCTTCATTTTATCATCAACATTGATATTCATAAATGTTCATCATCAGTCATTTAGTACTTCAAACAGTGGCTCTTTCGGTTACAAATTTGCTGCAGCTTCTACATAAAAGCCGGTGATTCTCAATCCTTTTCTGGGTTGTACAGGGTGAACATGGCGGCCCCGGCAGGATTGACCATAGACGACTTAGTGAGGACCATGAGTAGAAACATGAGCAGAAATATGAGTCGGTGTGGTAGTATTGCATCAGGCAGCATGAGAGGTTGGGCCTCAGTCAGTCTTAGAGAGGCGTTTGCTGTGCCAGGAGGGGATGTTTTCCAGAAAAGTGGAAGAGAAGATGATGAAGAGGAGCTGGAGTGGGCTGCCATTGAGAGACTCCCAACATGTGATCGGTTAAGGAAGGGTATTCTGAATAAAGTTTTGGACAATGGATATGTTATTATGAAGAGATTGATGTCTCCAACCTTGGAATGCAAAATAAGAAGTATCTCATCTAGAGTTTAGTAAAAGTTGACGAAAATCATAATGAGAGGCTTCTTCGAAGGCTAAGATAGTTGTTGTAGGAAGCGGAGCACTTCCAACTCTGCTAAATTCTACCATCAATTCCATAGAGGTAGTTTGTTCTGTTCCTTCAATGATCATTACTTACTTTATTTATTTTCTCATTAAATTGGTATTGTGGGAGTCATTTCTTAGTAATACATGTACTTACCATTACTGCTTCTTTCATGTGTGTTCATTTGGTGGAAGATCTGAATTAAAAGTGGAGTTTTATACCCTTCTGGCCATCCAATATGTGTTCTGGTCATTTTAATTCATGATTCTCAAAGCTGACAATTGTTCTATTTCCTCTTGTGACTTGATATTTGCTGGGGATGGGTTCTCAATTCAATTTCTGCAACCCTATTCACAAATGTAATGACCATCTAATCTAAAACTTGAAATGAGCCACGTTTACATTCATCTCAGGTTTTGATCCCAAACGTTTCTAAGACATCTATACACTCAAAAACTAAGTATTTGGTCTGGTAAATGATTCTTGGTGTTGTTGTGAATACGGGATTCTCGGACTTCTGAGTCTTTCCCCATTCAAAAAGAGGGCTGACAGGATACGCCAACATCACGGAGCCACCTACTTCCGTCATAAGGGTGATGCCTTAATCAGGGCTCTCCTCAATGGTGCTTCCATCAAAGCCCACTCCAGAGCGCTATGAAGACTGTCACTCAAACCTAATATTTTTGTTTGCTTGTATTAAGCCCTATTTACTTCATTCTTGATTAATTTTGTATACACCCACTTTTGCGCATCATCAATATTAACAGACAGTTGGCTGTCACAAAAGGACTTCAAATGCGTTAGACATGGAAAGAGATGATTAATTAGAGCTTCAAAATGTAATCTAAGTTCGGTGCATAGTTTCGATCAACTTAGAAATGAAAACATTTTGATTGCAGTTTAGAAACATTTCGAAACATGATGGCAAGAAGACAAAAAATTGGAAATTTGTTTGTGAAACATAAATTAAAACATATTAAAATATCTCAAAATATAGGAATTTCGATATCTACTGATTCATTCCGATTTCCATTAAAATGAAAACACTTCCGGATAGTTCCTTGCTGCATATATCTCATACACATCATGGTTTTCAGTTTCATGACAGCCTCAAATATGCATTACCCATTATGCTGCTTGAAATAGTATACCAATACCCCCACTATCCTGTTTTATATAAGTCCTGAGATCTTGCAAGAAGCATTTTCCACCAAAATATTTACCAGCTTCGACCTATTGTTCATAAAATATATATGGTACCACAATGACATGTAGGAAAATGTTAGATGCTTGATTAAAACATCAACTAAAACTTTGATTTGGTCTGATAACAAAGTATCCAAAAAAGAAATTTGTTAGAAAACATCATTTGCGGACAATATTCACATTATCTGAGGTTTAATACCAGAGGAATTGCATAATCAATGGGAGTATGTCTGAATGAGAAACCCACAAACAACTAGTGCTGTAATGTAGTTTCAAAAGTAGGCTTGCATTTCCCCCAAGTCAAAATCATTCAGTACCAGTAAAAAAAAAAAAACGAAAAACCTACAAGAAGTAGATTATGGAGAATAAATTCAAAAGCCTCGACCCTTTTCTCCAGATCCACTTATAACTAGAATAGTAGCAAATATTGTTTAGTTGTGATAAACTCTCTCTCATTCAGGTTTGACAGGAGCATCGACAAGGTCTTGAATCTCCTTCTTGCTCTTGATCGAACACTTTCTCTTGGTATCAAAATCAACTTTATCCAAGTCCTCAGCGATCCCCATGTATCCATACAGCAAAAGTTCCTCCACTTCGTCACCCTTCATTTCTCCTTCCCTTTTATCGCTCCTGCTGTTTTTGCTTCTGCCATAAGTTATCCGTTCAAAATCTTTTCTTCCACGCTTATTCTCAGCAAAGTATTTGTGAAGCTTCTCTGCATCTTGTAAACCAGAAAACGTGCCCAAAAACTTTACCTCCATAATACTATGGTTTGCAGGCTTCCCAAGGCACACCTTCATCTTTCCACCACTAAATCCTTTGCCTGCAAAACAGAATGCAGAAGCAGAAAATGGGGGGGCATCATGTATAAAGAAAAGGTGCACTTTTCCTCATTTTGATTCAAGGAAAGTGTACATTAAAATACCAAATTATGAACCAGCTCTGGATTCTGGTCAAATATATAAAAAGTCAGTCATTATCTCTCTATAATCCTGAATATCACAAATGATAATAATCTTTAATAACATGCACTGGCAATTGGCTCTTGCCTGTAGCACAAACTAATCTCAAACCAGCTAGGCATGTTTCAATTGATCTAGATTATTCACTCACCTCTCAGGAACTCGCCAAGCGCTTCAACTGTTACGACTTTCCGCTCTTCTGGATTGTTGTCTAAAATAGAGCTGTTATGGATGACAACAACTGGAGGCCAAACTATAAGGTCCTCCTTCTGAGCCAAAGCTTCAGCACTGGAAATGGCCTCTGGAACCCATGTAACCGTGTCAGGGGCCACACTATTCCATCCCATCAAAACACAAATTGCCTTGTGGAGACCCAAGTGCTGGGCTCTCAACCCCTGCTTGTGAGACATAAAGGCATGGTTCACCAAGCGTTGAGTATCCATAAACTCTTTTGACAGGCTGAAAGATCACAGATAGATTAGCAGTTGCAACTGTACAGATAACTCTGTGCCAAAGCACAACTTTACTGACAGCATGTAGGCAGAATAGGGCAGAAGATATCCAACTTCCAAAAGAGTAATATTAGTTTGAAGAGCAAGTAAGGTAAAACTTACCCATCTTTAATGAAGATATTTCTCTTGGATATTTAATGAAAAGAATAATAATGTCAAAATCCTGGCGCAACAGAGTTCATGGATTAAATTAAAAATCAACAAAAACAATAAGTTCAACTATAATCATTTTTTTATTGGTGTTGGAGTCCCGGGGGGGGGGGGGGGGGGGGGGGGGGAAATCCACACTCTATTAAACCCCAAAATCTGATTGTGTGCAACCAATTATTGCAACTACGGATGGCAAGGAACATAACTCCTCGATTCATGCTAGGTCCAAAATTGCCCCTATCCCACAAAAACATTTAACATCATCAAACATGGAGCAATTTTCACAAACTTCAAAAGATGTTTAGGAGCAAATGTATGACCATTGATTTCTCCCCATCCCCTTGCCCTCCCCCAACCTCATCCTCCTAACCACCCACATCAAAAAAATGTGATAGTGATAAGAATCAAACTGTCAACCCCATCCGTCCCCTATTGGATGGCATGCCATCCTTTGACAACTATGTTACAATTGCTCCTTTTGGCAGTTTAAATATTGCATTCATGATAGATCCTCAAATGAGAAACAAGCACATAGCTCAAAAATCGTAACTAAACAGTGTGCACACACTACTTTACTCTTCTAAAGTTACCCATGTAATAGAGGAATATGGTTAAGAAGTCTGCTGCATAAGGTGTAGCATGCAGTTTGGCCACATCCTGTACCCAAAAATATGTTTCCACCTGAGGTAACTTCAAATAATTGAAGTGCCCAAATGAAGTATTCAAATTTAGACACTATTACAAATTTGCAAATTTGGAGAGCTTTCTCAGTAAACAACAAAAGGAAAATTTAGTTGAGAAAGAGATGCTTTATACACTATTTGATACCCCAACATTTTGTAGACATGCTTTATAGTTTACTGGATCTATCCATCAACTTCTAATATAGACTGATCCCAGTTCACCTTTTTATTCCCCAAGTGGCAAGAGATCTTGCCAAAAAGGCATGCCACAAAAGCAGGCAAATGATCTAACAGTTAAATACACATCCACTTTCTTGCAGTTGTAAAGGTGCAACATCCCTAAACAGCTAAATAGCCCACTAATCTATCAACTAAGTCGGTTTTTTACTATCACGCTCTCTTGTTTTTACAGTAAATCTTCATCAGAGCCAAGGGACTATCCCTGAAAATCCGATCTGACTAACAAGGTCATAACTGTCTTTGAGACTAGAGATGTTAAAAAATGAACATCCAACCAGTTAAAGAACACCATATTTTACCATAAATAAACCCACTTGGGCTAAACAATTCATTAAACAATTTTGTACCTTTGTCCAAACATAGAAATATAATTAAGTCTGACAAGGACATGGATTGGAATCATCCTACATATATAAATACCCACCCACAACTTAGATCACCCTGTCCTTCAGGTGAAATTGAATTACACATGCTTATTCAGGTGGAATAGCAATCCTAAAGCCAATGCAAGCCCCCTCTATCTGCAGGCCATTAAAAAATAACAGTCCACAGCTATATTATGCTTTTTATTTTTTCTGTCTTCCATAAAAATCTCACAATGCACACTGCACAGCATTAGTCCCTAAAGCCGCACCCCAAGAGCATGCATTTGCAGCCACAATTTGCCCCAATGTTATTTAAGGCATAAAGCGAGCCGATGCGACCAAGGCTCCTAACGCCTAGGCGAGAAGCGAAGCGACACGCTTTACCGAAGCAAAGCGAATAGTTAAAAAAATATATATTTTAGTTTAATTACTTCTAAACAATCTAAGTTCTAATTTTATATATACTAAATATTTAAATGCAAGTAAAACCATAAACATTTAAATTAAAACAAACACTACTAATATCTCAAATCTTAATAACAATCATAACTTAAACATTTAAATTTAAACAAATACTAACAATTATATACATTTTCATATTGACAGGGTAGGACAACAAAAGAAGCAGGATCAGGACAACAACAGAATTAGCAACAAAAAAAAAAAGAAGCAGAATGAGGATAAAAAAAAAACAGAAGCGGCACAGGACAACAAAACCAAAGCAACAACAGAATCAACAAAAAAAAATAGAAGCAAAATGAGCTAAAAAAAAAACAGAAGCACAATGATCATGACAGGAGCAGAATCAATTGTAAACAATTTCATATGTAATTATGTACTGAATAAAAAAAGCAGAATAGAGACACATTTCACATGTACTAAAATAATTAAACATGATATAAGCATAGACCACTTTTTGGTACAATTTGTATATATATAAGAAAAGGGAAAAGTATAAACAAGATATATCAGAGACACTTCTTTGTAGAAGACTCTATTATTTACCCCTATTCCTGATACTCCTGCTTCCTTTCTTTATCATAATTTTGTCATGCAGTCGCCTGACTCCCACATCCCACAAATATTCTAAATGAATTCAGCAACACAAGGGAAAAAAAAGAATGTGTTTTCTTTAGAGCGTTGCTTATTAGAAAAAAAAAAAAAAATAGACTAGCGATAGTCTAAAAAAAAAGTCATCAGTGATTAAAAAATTAAAGAGACTACTAACCTGTGATCAGAAAAAAAAAAAAAAAAAAAGGGGAGCAGAATCGCCTCTTATAATAAAGCGTTCGTTTTTTCGCTTTTTTCTCGCTTCGCCTGGGTCCTCCAGGCGAGATAAGCTCGCCTCGCCTCGCTTCTCACCTAGGCGAGCTTTTCAAAACACTGCCCAAATGATAAAAAGAAAGAAATGGAATTGCATTCAAGTATCAGTCGTCCCCCAGCACATAGACATTTACCAAAGAACAAAGAACTAAAAAATCTATTTTCAGAAATAACACTGAAAGAAAATTCAGGACACTGAGTAAGGACCATAGAAACAATACTAATAATAACAAAACGAATCAACTTAATCTCTGCTGTACTCTCTCCTAGCTGATACAATACAAAAAGATCTAGAAGACTTCCCAGCAAACAGAATCCTCAGATGTACATCCTCATAGGCATGACCTAATAATACAGGCCAAAATCCATGACATGGTTCTTCCCAAGTCAAAAGTTCCAAGCCACCAGAATAGGAAAGCATCATCAATAACATAGGATAATGCCAACCGAGGCCACAAAATGTTGACTTACCCTTTAAACATATTACAAAACACCTTATGTTCTCAAACAGTTTTCAGAACAGAAACTAAAAGAGTGCTCCTAATTTTACAGCTCCCATTCACTCTGGTAATCCTCGGGAGGTCACTTTGATAGCCCATTTGGGCACACACAGAAATAACATGAGCATCCCTTTGGTTCTTCAACACCACGTATCTACTTGGACATGTTCATTCCACCTCCTTTTCTAGGTTTTCAAATATTTGAATGTCCTCACTGATTGTATTTTCCTTATTTTGCTATAGGTAAGCTCTTCGAAATCAATGGCACTTGGTATAATTGTGCCATAAAGTGCTTCACACTCTCAAAGATCTTAACAAGTTGCTTAACTCTAGCCAAGTTATCTTATTCTAGAAAACCAGAGATGAGAATAGCCTTCCTCAGGAGTTCTATACCAGCTAAGCTTGGAAAAATGGGCCTCAGCAACCAATGACCATAGTTGACCACACCTGGATTTTGATAAAACAACAACTCAATTTGTTGGCGGCAGTCATCACTGCCCAAATCCAGGTTTATATCTCATCCAGGAAATTTTCTTTTTTGTTCTTCTTTAATTTTTTAAATCTTATATCTCCATATTCAGTGTTGGCAACCCATCGCATGTCTGTCATGACCCATTTCCCACCATTATCAGCCCCATTTTTTTCGGTGCTAACAACCAATTGCATCAAAATCCCAATATGTTCCAGTCGGCAAATATCACAGTGGTGCTGAAATTCTGTAATGGCTCTGGCGAACTATGGTCTTGGGCATTGTTTTCCAATGAGCAATCCAGGCAGTACGTTGTTACATTGGTCCTGCTCACAAGACATCGTTGAAGATGATAATTGTGATTCGGGAGCATAAAGAGACAAATGCCCATTTTTGTCAACCAAAAATTAGGGGTCTCACAAACACCACCCCCATTGTAGAGGACACTAGCAAATAATATATAATATTAACAGTCCATGTCTTGAACCCATAAAACTCAGATCAGAATAAAGTAGCCTTACAAATGTATGCTACCCTTCCCTAAATACATCCATATGTCTGTGTGTGTGCACGCTAAAGAGATGTTTCCCCTTATTTGAATTTTGCATTATCCTATTCCATCCAATTCACAACCCACAACCACACGAGTTTGCAACACAATTCATGGATACAGTTATCAAAAGAATTCAGGAAAAGGATATCTCTTAAACTGTCTGATTCACTTTAACTGAATCAATTTTGATCCCCTCTGAACACTAAGCCACTATGGCTGGATTTTTTATTCCAACTCCTACCTCCAATTCTCAAGTCAGTAGACAAAAAAATTCTAATCAGACTTCCAGAGAAGTAGCTAAAAGCTACATAGGATTTCCCAGGACATCCCTGCAACCAACAAACAGAAAAATGCATTGGGGTCTGTTAAAGAATCATCTATTATAAAAACTTAAGTTGTTGTAGAGGGTTTAACTTAAATATTTATACTTCAGCATGCCCTGCCGTGCAGGCTAGATTTTGGGCCTAGCATGTAGAAATCATTTAATATTTAGGGTGGTGGTAAGATTTGAACATAAGACCTCCTGCTCTAATAACATGTTAAACAACCATCTCCTCTAAAAGCTTAAATTGCTAGAGAGGGTCTAATTTAAGTACGTATACTTCAAAATGGTCTAAGTAGTCTCAACCTCATAATATCGTTCTTCTTGTTCAGCAGGCATGGTCTTAAATGACTCTCCTAAACAACAATACTCTATTTAAAATATCAAAGGCTGGAGAAAGCCAGATACCTTCATTCAGCCAACAGTTATATAAGGCCGAAGAGCAAAACTTTCATAGAAACATCTCAAGAATATTATTCTTCTGGTACAAAGATGACCTAGAACCCCAGGTTTGATGTTCAAACGATTTCATTCATACTATTTAAGCCTGCAATCTCGATGACTTCTCAATGCTTAGCATCGAAAAACTTCAGCATATATACTAGTGTAAACCGCTTACTCATATCACCAATCCCAGTGCTACAAAACAGCCAGTTGACTTAACAATAAAGTGTCTTGGTGCAAACACAGAAAAAATCCTCAAATGTCCAAAACCAATTAGATTTTTCATGAATCATTACCTTTAAACATTTGAATTACAGCTAATTAAATCATTTTCAAACTCTGGAATTCCTAAAGTAGACGAGAGTAATTCCTAAAACCCCAAATAGTTGGGATAAAGGCCGAGTTGAGTTGAGTTGAGGTTAAGTAATTCCTAAAGTAGACTAGAGTGTGCCCTTATGCCTTTGGTATTTTAAATGAAGCCAATTAAAAAATTTAAAGTCTATCAAAAAAAAACCAACCAGTGCCACTATTCACCTAATTTACAAAGGCAATTGAACATAGACCCATCAATTTGACTTCTCTGGCATCAATAAAACTAACCTAGACTTGCTATCACAGCTAAGCAGGGTATTTTCCTCTATTTTAATATCCCTATGGCTACTAAAGTCCCAAATAAAACGCAATTATTAATCTTCAAGTTGGCAGGTTCTCAAATGATTGCAGAAAGTAGGATTATGCGAAAACAAGTGCTCTGCTTTCAAGAAGAATATTGCCAAAAAAACACACCTTCTGCCACAAACGATGCAGAACAAGCTACCAGCTCTTCCTTCTTCCTTGTATCTTTTTCGAACAACTGGGTTGTCATTCAACTTTCTGGTGAAAGATAAGTAGTAGTTATGTACAAGTTGCTTAAACTCCTCAGAATCCTCTGGTGGCTCAGGCTTTCCCCAACTCACCAAATCATCTGATTGTTTAACTTCATTTTCATTTGGATGTACATCCACTTGATTGTTGTCCATACCTCTTATCCAAACATTGCGTCGTTTGGGAAGGGCATGGCTTCGATTGACACGGTATGAGTCATACCAGCTTAGAGAACCAGATCTTGGATGGCCCTTCAAATATTTACCACGAGATTTGTATGGTTTGATAGACAGCTCTGGCCCATGTTCCACTGGATCATGAGATGACAACCAATCCTGAGATGCAGAACCTCTATTTCGATCAGTCCCATAGAACATCCTCTCTGCCATTCTGTAACTGCCATTGTCATGGCCCAGACTTTTAGATAGAGGTGAACCACTCATCTCTTCACCAATCCAGTCCTCACCTCTATCATTGAGATCCTCAGTAATACTAAAAGCAGTCCCTCTACTTGACATAAAACTTCTAGAATTGTGCCGGTTCATTTGTTCATCCATCATGTACTTTCTCTTGAGCACCCTATCAGATGGGTCATTTATGCCAAGTTCTTTTGCTTTCAATCCCTGAGTTCTTGATCTATGCATTTTTGATTCATACTGAAACTGAGGTGAACTCCTCATTCTGTCATCATGAAACACTGGACCAGCATCTCTTCCAAAACCATAATCTACTCTTGTATGCAGGATTTCATGGTCTTGTGATCCAGTATAAGGTATATCTTGTTCTCTTGGTGCTCTCCTCCTCAACTCAAAACGGGGGCTTCTAGAATTTAAGTACTGCCCATCTTGTCTTTGTGCAGCTGGAGATCTGCTCATGCCAATGTAGTCTGAAACTCTTTGCTTTTGTGAAGAAGGATGATCCCATAGACTGCTATCACCCAGATTCCTGTAAGAACTTTCAGTATGATCAATCTGTTCTTTGACTGGGTCCCCCATGTATGATCTTAACATATCTCTACGGTCATGATCTACTTGTTCATGTAACGACATTCTTCTACATAACTCATCAGATGGATATCCAAAATCAACATTCTCTCTTGTCCTAGGATATAAATGATCCTGATGCTCTGGCCCGGTGGGGCTATATATGTCCTGTCTGTAGTATGTCATATCCTTATGTTCTGCTTCAAGGTTTTTTCCCGTGTCCAAGATGTGCCTTTGGCCATGCCCACTTAACACAGCAGGTTCTGCAAATTTTGCAGAGATCCTCGCATATTTATCTGCAGCAAAAGGCTCATCACCTTGGTAAGAACCTGAGAAATTTGTCCTTGAGGTTCCAGCAGATTTACTCACAAAATCCTTGAACACAGAAGTTGGCATCAAATCCTTGGTTTGATATTCTGGCACTGAGGAATAAGAAACATCCTTTGGATGAAATATTGGATTTTCTCCTTTTACATATGATTCTTCCATTGCTGATAATTTGCCCAATAGTAATGGGTCTGGATACCGAATTCTCTCGTCCTTAAACAGACCTAAATCCCGATTCAGTGACAATGATGATGCAAAATTCCCACCACCTTCACCATAACTCAAGGTGTGTCCTGAATCCGAAGGTAACCTAGACATTCCTCGGCTCTTATCGTCTTCTGATCGCATCGATTTCTGACCCAACATCCCATGTGCGCCAGTATCCAACATTCTACGGCTTTGTAGTCTATCACCGCCAGTATCCTTTTCCCTAACGTCCCTAGACCTAGAATGTTCATAACCATATTCACGTTTTGAATTAGTGTCCACAGCAGCATTCACATCCGTATACTCAAAAATATCATGTCTTTGCCGCAACTCATACCTTAACACCCCCTCATCATAGTTAGCCCTTTGCTGCACCTGCCGAGAAGGGGGCGACCTCGACCTCGCTCTCTCCCCTCTCCCCTCACCCAAATAACTATATTGCCTCCACTCCAATGAACTGCTCCTCCGGTTTCCACCCATCACTCTCCGAGGACTCAAACTCCTCCTAGAACGCGGTGAACGGGGCATCAAATAAGGTTCTACATGACCCAATTTCAATCTACTTACCCTTAACCTCGATTGTGTTGCCAAATCTTCATTCCTTCGGGATTGCATGTTGCAATAATTGGCCAACAAATACACTGCTCACTATAACTCAACCAAAAGACCTTAAAAGGTTGATCCTGAATAATCCCTAACCCAAGATTGTGGACCCATTACCAAAACCTTCAATTTGATCCACAACCTTCTGGCTCCTTAATAACACAGCTAAACAACTACCAATTTTACCTGAACCTTCAATCTGACTGACAAAGCTCTAATAATCCCCAAAAAATCTCAGATAAAAACGTCAATTTGCTCCACCAGGCTTTTCTCTGATATAAATAAAAGGTACAAACTTGACCCAAATGAGTATGTTATAATAGAAGCCCTAGAAACTCATATAGATCAGACAGATTGGTGTTAGGAAAAATACACACGCACGCACAAACATATATACGACCATAAAGTTCAAAACCCTTGCAAGAGTCGAAGATATAACCCTAACCCTAATGAAATTCGACGATGATTGCAATTATAGATCAGTAAATAACCTAAAATAGGGCTAGAAGATTCACCGTGGAGAGTGAAAACATGAGAGATTTCAAACCTTTCGTAGAGAAATAACATGAGCCATGAATGATCTCTAACACTCCTCTCGAATCCTCACTCCCCCGATTATTATCAGACGAAGATTGGCTCCTAAACGGTTGGGATTATTTTAAAAAGTTTATACTTCGTACGCGCCGCACTTATTTTTTTAGGGAAAATAACACTTTTTACCCCGAACAATCTTCACATTTTTAATTTATATCCTGAATGATTGAAATTCTCATATTGCAATTAAACAAAAAGGTAGCAATGTGTTCCATTTAAAAAAAAAATTATTTAAGTATTTTGTTATGGTAGAGAGTTGGGAGTGAAAACACCAATGCATCATAGAACAACTGCATGAATCGAAATTCACTTCTTAAGACCTACGATCAAGAAAGAAAAGTTTCGTGTTCTCTAAGTGGTTGATCTTAGCATTAAACACATTTAAAATTGAGTATTATGCATGCAATTAATTATCAAAATAGGATAATATAATAAATTACAACCAAAAAAAAATCAAAAAAGGCAATAAATATTTATTTTTGAACTACATTGCTACTATATGAGAATTTTAATTTTATAATGTGTAAATTAAGAATTTAAAAATTTTTTGTGCGAAAAAATATCATTCACCCTTTTTTACCACAAGGAAGAGAAAAATATGAGAGTGTGATAGTGCTAGATTAAATACATTTTAATGGTTAAATAAGATAGTTGAGAAGTTATGAGTGGGTAAATATAATATAATTAGAATTAAGAAATCACAGAGTCATCCACTAGGTAATGGAACTCTGCCCAAATAAAGTTACTATCTCTTGATTTCTTATAAAACCCAAACATCTGACTTCATTTTTCAATTGAAATGGAATACTACTATCAAAATTGCACTGTAAATTCCAATTATGCCTAAGAAGACAAGATCCCAAATTGATGCTTGACATGTCTCCCCTCTTCCGATTCCATCACGCAAGACACAAATTTTTTAGTATAGATTTTTCTGGTAAAAATATGAGAGTATGAAAGAGTTAGAATAAATAAAATTTAATGGTTAAATGTGATAGTTGAGAAGTTATAAGTGGTTAAATATAATATAATTAGAATTGAATTCCAAATAGCATTGCTCAATGAATAAAGATGGAGGATACCAAACTCACACTTTCTTTGGTTAATAGTATAAATTAATTTAGAATTAGAAATTTTTTTCACAAAACAATCACACTCGATACGGACGAATTACATTATATTTGTATATATTTATTTTTTTTAATTTTATAATATCAAGAGCTTGGACACTGAGATGTCTTTTTTTAATTAGAAGATAATGTTACCAAATTCAACTTATTTTTCAAATTTTTGTAGTTTTTAAAATTATGTTTTTATTTCTTTGTAGAAAAAGATATATATAGTTTTAAATCATAATTTTTTTATGAAAAAAAAATAATGGTTGTTAAGGGCACCTCTAATTATTACTCAAATTTTGATGCAAATTTAAATTTATAAAAATCAGTGAGAAACAATCTCTATCCCTTTACTCAAAGTCATACAAAAAATATAAGATTTGAATTTTAACTCAAATCAAGATATCTCAAAGTTTTACTCAAATGTTCAACGGTCATATTTCCTTATTAGTTTTATATATCCAAAAGTGATATTTCATATGTCTCTACTTTTTTTATTTATTTTATTTTAGCTAAAAAACAAACTTCAATCAAATTTTGATCATTCACTACAAACATCATTTTCAAAAGTGAGATTGGATTTTTGTTTTTACTTTATCTAATTTTAGCAATCAAGGATTATGCATTTTTTAAACTTTAAAGAAAAAATCTATAAAAAAGAAAAAGAATGGGTTTCTTTATGAGAATAATAGTTGATTTTTATTTGAGGGACGAGTTAAAATGTAATGAAAAATTGAAAGGAAAAGAGTATTGAGAGTGAATGAATATTAACATAAAAGTTTTGAACGATAACCACCTAATTAGTTGGCTTTGTTGAGTTGTAGTGAGATGTTGGTTTGATGCTATTTCTCTTCTCTCTTTTCTCTCTTCTCCATCTCTTTCTTTCTTTTTCTAAATTCTCCATAGTCTCTATCTTTTGTGTTTATCATCCCTATCTTGCACTAGGTTGGTGCCAAAGCAGTGGCAAATTTGAGATTTGCTCCATCAAAGTACCAATGATGGCAAGGATTCCTTCCTATTTTGACACCAAAAAATAGATAAGAAATGGCCAGACTTTCTTTTTAACTCTATGTGTGTGTGGGAGTCATAGGCTTATATTTAGATATGGGCTTGCGAAATTTTGGCTTACTGTATTTAGTTTAATTTTCTAAGGATTCTTTGAAAGCAAGTACTCTAAATTAGACTTAATTGTAAAAAAATACACAGACAAAAATATTTTGAAAAAAAATATATTAGTCAGATACAAAAACGTAAATGCCTATTTTGTTAAATTTTATTTTTTAAAAAATATAACAAGACATTTATCATAATTGCTGAAATTTAGGGTCATTTAATTCAAAATTTATTCATTTTCTTCAAACCAACTATATGTCATTCATCAAACAAAACCGTTTTCATATTCTCAGTGAAAAAAGTCTAACTCTTTGTTTTCCATAACCAAAGAAAAGGGTTTTAACTGTGTAAAGTACGTTGATTGAAGGAAGATTTCGTGTTCGATTGGCACAAACTGAAGAAGGGTGAAAGTGTTGTTCGCGATTTGAGGAGTTTTTGTAACGCCCCAAAACACACTCTGGACGGCATTACATTCTAAAACCATTCATCTCATGAGAGCATTAATATAATCCTTTAAGAAACAAGACTTCATTTGTCATCCACGAATATTTACAACATTATCCAAAATAATAAGCCCCAAGTCATGGCTATTACATTTCAAAAATTAATTAAAGAAGCGCATCGGAATAAACAAAAGAAGCTAGACTACACAATGTTCCAAAAGAATGTCCTAGTCTAGTACAAAAAGAAAGGAGGTCGCTCTATGCATCCACCTCGGGATCCACACTCCCGTCCAGTGGAGTCTCCCAAGTAGTGGGTTCCCCGACCCTTATGTTCTCCTTCTCATGCAGGTAATCTGAAAAATATTAGCGATAGGGGGTGAGCACGAAGCTCTATAGAAAAATTCTCTCAAACTCATACAAGGTTTATAAAAACATTTAAAACAATCGGTCTCAATTTTAACATAACATAGATACATAATTTGAAATAAAGCAGTGACATTTAAAAAAGATCTCAAATTTATTTTAAAATATTATTTAAATGAATAAACGAGCACCACATACAAATAATAACCATTAATTGTCATAACCAATTCTCAATAATTCTTTCGGTAGGTGACATACTTTGTAGTAACCTCCACCCCTCTTTAGGTCACCTTTAATTCTCAAGCATCCTTATCGGGAATCTCTTGGGAATGGGTAAGCATCCTTACAAGGAACCTCTCACTCATGTGCATCACAAAAAACCCAACCAAGTATACAATTCCAACATTTATCTCAATTTACAAGCTTCTATCCAAAATTTCTAAAATATATCATATAACAATTTCACAACCAACTAAGAAAATACATGAGATCACAATAACATCATTTTTCTACCCAACACAAAGCACTAAGATTTCAAAATCCATAATAAAGAAAGTATTTAGGAAGAAAATACATCACTCTCCAAAAATTAGGGTTTTAAAACTAGAAAGAAGATTTCATGGGTATTAAACCCTACTTTGTTCAAAACATGTAATTCTTGCAAAAAGCCTAAGAGAGGAGGATTTCATAGCATATATATACCATTGATAGCCAAAACATACATATATAATTACCATAGCCTCAATATAAGTGAATGAGAGAAAACCCCTACCTTGAATCCTTAACTTTAGTGTGAAGAACAAGAATATTTGATCTTGAATCACCCTTGAATCTCTTGTTTTTCCCTTCCTTTCTTTTTCTCTAATGTTCTCTAGGGTTTCAAGATGTGTGGGGGTGTGAGAGGAGTGAAGGAAATGAGAGCAAATGAGATGAAAATGAGTTTAAAACATAGCAGCCTCAAAAACACTGTTCACATGTTGTTTTGAATTTCTCCAAATTTACGATTTTGCCACTAAGAATATTCAATTTAATCCATATGACTACCCTAAGGTTTGTCGACGTTCCGGATTCATTTTTAATGTTATTTTAACCTAAAAACATTTATTTTTATGATTTATCTCAAAACCCAAGTCAACGTACACCCGAAACACTAAAATTTCTATTTTACCCATATGAATCGGCTATTAATGAAATTTTACGATATTTGCAAATAAAATGTGATAAATGGTGTTTCTTAAAGCCTTTTTATACTTATTTGAAGCCTAAAAGTACTCATTATTCTTATATTTTGATTTAGGATGCAAATGGAGACATTAAATGCAAAACGAAGCTAATTGGACTATTTCGACATCGTTTCGTTATCTGAGCATAAATCTCTCATCCA